CGTAGCCCGAGTGATATAATGATGCGCATCCGAACAACAAACAGTGATGTTATCCAGCGATAAAATCAGCGATTTATATAGAATATATTGATTCTAACACAACATCAACAAATAAATGCTGACGTAGCTGATATTAAGCAAAATTGCACCTGATTTGTTTCCGTACTTATTGACAGTGGTTACGTCACATGTATAATGGTTACGTCACATGTCTAAATATAGAACATCAAACAGTGATTTTAAAGCATAATAACACACTTTCGGTTCTTCTATGTTCAATAGGGAAAACTACGGGTCGTGTTAGAATAACTTACAGCTCTAGGTAAAAGATGTTACCTCAAAATATTGTTTGAAACATTTTTATAATATATCCTAGCTATCGGTCATGAAAAAATAATTTAAACATACTGTAGGCAAAAGTATAAATGAATATGATTATGTACAGAAAATGTCAAGTAATCTTCTGTGGATCTGAAAAGCAAGGATCGAGAATCAATTCTGGGGTGATTCTAAAAACATATAATAATGTATAATAACTTAGAATGTAAATGAAAAATTTGAATGTAAAAAATGAATGTAGATCTATGTGTTGCAAAAATATATATTCAATTTTTTTATAAATACAGGATTTCTTTTCATCTTGTGGTACGAGCAAGGGTGCACATATGTAATAATATGATCATTTTCATACCAAAAGATGAAAATAAATCTTGTTTTTATATAGAGAAAACTTGAATTTTCTGTTAATTATATAATTCTTTGATCTTACAATTCAAAAGACTTCCTTTAATTTTGTGTAATGTCTGAATTTTGAAGAAAGTAGTCCAGCAAGAAACCAGTGAAAATACAGAAATTATGTTCTCTGCAGTGAAAAACAAGAGCGATCAGTGATCACATGTGTCGCCTCATAATGGCCAATTTCATGTTGGGACAAGTTTTGTGACAGACGGACAGACAGACGGACAGTGCACAACTAGACTTGGTACTGATCATTCCTGTAAAGTTTGGATGAAATTACATCAGTAATTTTTTAGGAGTAGTCCAGACAAGCTTTTGTGTATCTGGCAACACACAGAAAAAAACACCTTTTTTATTAAAGGGCCATAACTCGGCCAAAAATCATTCAACCGGAAAACCCGTGCAATATGCGCAAGGACTTCAGCTACAGATCAATCCTGTAAAGTTTCAGTGAAATTGCATTAGTGGTATAAGAGAAGTAGTCCGGACAAACTTTAAAAATAAAAATTATTAAAGGGCCATAACTCTGACAAAAATCATTGAACCGGAAAATGCTGACAATATGCACAACTAGACTTGGTACTGATCATTCCTGTAAAGTTTGGATGAAATTGCACCAGTAGTTTATGAGGAGTAGTCCGGACAAGTTTTGTGACGGACGGACAGACAGACGGACATCCGGCCGAAATGGAATAAGGGGCCATTTCTTTTGTTATTTTCTATTGTTTAATAGAGGGCCAATGGCCCCTTACTCTATTGTTACGAATGAACTCTATTGTTCTCTTTTGTTCTGTTTACAGATAGATGGCCCCCTATCCCTTTTCGGTAGTGCGGACAGACAGACGACGGAGAAGTGATCCCTATATGTCGCCACTACTCCGTAGAGGCGACACAATAAATTGTTTACAGTGAAATTACAGAAAATGAAAAATATGCATTTTATTTTGAACATCAATATTTCATTCATAAGAATATAATATAAGTATTGGTTACATTTCATTCAGTGAATGTAAAATTCTTTTGTGATCTTTAACGGATATTGTGACATACATGTACAAATTTTGCAAGCATTATGCAACAGTGTCTTAAATTTAATATTCAATTTTACGACACAAATTATGTTATTTATCATGGCATATATCATGAATATTATAATAAACACAGAGTTCATTAAACAGTATCATTCTCAGATCCAGCAATTTATACTATATAATCGTTTATAAAGTTGGCTTATTGCTGACTTGGTTTATACAGAATTTTTTTAAGTATGATTATGTAGTAAGCTATAAGCTTAAAGACACACTTTTGAATCCGTTCCTGGAACCAACCAGAGATTACTAGTCGGCTGCGTTTACCACTCGGTCATGCCGCCACTCTACTGCTGACTTACATGTATCTTTTGCATTGTGATAGTAACAGATACCCCTTAACCCATAACCTGCCTGAACTGAAGTTTTGCTTTGTCACCAGTATTATAAGAGCCAGTCCAACAGGCACATATTCCATGCAGTCTGACCAGGCTCAATACTGTTGGCTGACTTACTTTAAATATTAAATGTTCATCTTGATATCCCTAAAATGATAATGGACAATTCCAAAAATTAGTATGTCAGGACAAGTCCATTTTAGAAATTTGGCAGGTTAAGGGGTAAACTAACAATGGTATGTTTCAAAATTTCAAGCAGGACAATTCCATTACATTTACAAACATAATAGCATTATAGCACATATAGGTTACAAATCAATTTTTTTTTCAAATTACTTGGGATGATCATAAAATATACATGTACAAATATGTGATCTTGTGTATAGTCACCAGCATACCAATTCTCTTGTATAAATACATGTAATTTACATTCTTCCATGGACACATTCAGGTGAATTCTTCTTTATCACATGAGGTTGAGAGAAAATGCCTTTTTTTGTTTGTTTGTTTGTTTGTTTGTTTGATTGATTTGAGGGCACACCAACACTATTGGCCATAATGGTGCCAAAACAATTTTTTGCTTGATTTTTGCTAACTTTGGGAGTGTAACAAATTAGGGGTCAAAACCAGCTATTTCTTTTCTTATCAAGATACAAAAAAAACATTTCAATAATATTAAAATAATGTTTAATTGTATGCAAACAAAAACCTTTATATAAGTAGAAGTAACTGTGTAGCATTTTTAATTGATTTGGACACTCCACAGAAAATGTTCAAACAACAAAACATGATTTAGAATAATTTATCAAATTCATTACAAGCCGATTTTAATAAATCTAACCAAAGATGTACACAGACTTACAAGGCAAAATGAGATTAATTTATTATTTCAAAGCAAAAATTAAATGCATAAAGCTAATTATTTTATTCATCAAGGCATTTCCTGTCAATCCTGTAAATTTTAAATTCCATTTACATATACATAATTTTTTGAAGAGAGAGTTCAAGAGTACGTGAAACCGCATAGAGTCAAACGGGTGGAACCGCAAAGTCTACCCGGGGAATTCAGCCCGCCGCAGATGGTGGCGCCTCAGGGTTCGGGGATCCTTTAACAGGACCCCGTCCCAGCGCGGTTCTTAATTTCATGCAATTATGGGTTATTTTCTGAAAAAAAATCCAATATCCATTTTCACGATAAATGAAAGCACCAAAAAAGATTTTTAAAATTGAGTTCAGTCTAAAATGCCTCCGAAATGCAAGAAATTAAACAAATTTGTTTGATTTTTCATATAAAATCCATTTTTCTTCAGCAAATTATGAAATTTGGATTTTCTTGAAAGAACAAACAAATTTATTTTTATACATACCTCAATCTCTATAAATTAACTGTTTCAACATTAAAAGAAAATGTAATAAATAATGAAAGCTCAAATATATAAATACCATTACAATTGTACTATTTGTTTGTATTTTAAATCAAATCATAAATTAAACAGTTCTATTTTCTATGTGTTTTGAAGTTTACATGATCATTATCTTTTTTTCAGAATATATTCCATACAATCTGACTAAACACTTTGATTTTTATCTTGATAGATACACAAGGCATATCTTTTGACCAATTTATCTTTAAAGGCCCGACAACTTCTTCTATTATCAATTATTTCTTTTCATAAGTACAGAGAGGGGAAAAGTAAGATATTTTTAAAAACTTTCTGTATTATATAATTATTTACCAGAATTTTAAGCTTACAATGCACCACAAGGGCTTCCTTCATAAGACATGAAAAGTGACAAATTAGCCAGTACCCATACTGGAACTGGATGTTAAAATGAGCCTTGCCACTAGTATACAGCCAAGCCAATCTGCACACCCATGCAGTCTGACCAGACTCTATACTATTGGCTGACCAACTCTAAAGTTTCATCTTGATTTCCCTAAATTTGAAAATGGTAAATTCCAAAAATGGAAGTTTGACGAGTCCATTTTGTCCATTTAAGAAATTCAGCAGGTTAAGCCTTAATGTGGATGTTTTACCTTAATGTCAGATCTATTCAAATAAAAAATTTATAAAATATTGTATTTAGAAAAATATATCTTGATGAATGTATAAATAAAGATAAACTGATAAATCAAAGCCTTACCTGAGGTCTATAATCAATATGTTTGTACACACCAAGACATTTTGATATGGTTCTCTGATCGTCCTCCCACTTCCTGTCCAGAAATATAAAACCAGCGATCTGCATAGCCCAACCTGTTCAACAAAATCAACCATCAGTTTTGACCATAAGCAGTATCAGTAGATAAAAAAGGCGCCAGACTCCATAATAGGTCTATTGTTTGTTTTTGTTTGGTTTTACAGTGCACCAACATAGTTTAGGTCATATGGCGCCAAAACAGGAAAGATGATTTTGGCTAATCTTAGGTCTTACAAACTTCAAAGCAACACACGGGGTCAAAAGCACCTCACCTGCTGGAGCTAAGACATGCATCGTAATAATCGTACATACATTGTAACATGTAAATTATTACTTGAATCTTCAATCTTTTTTACTTTTCTCAAAATCTTAGTACATTTTTCTTAATTTTGATTTTCTTGAAATATTTTGGCTTATCTGGAGGCTGCAGACAGTGACATCATGTCCCATCCCAGTGTACATGTACATGATTAGTGTACTGGAAAAGGACGTTATAAATTAAAATTTTGTCATAATTCTTTTTTAATTCACTATTTAGTTTCACATATTAACATAAACAATCAATAACTTGCATGACCCACAAGAAATAACCTTTGAAAATTATCAGTAATGTTCACTTGATAAAAAATGTGGGGCAGTCTTTTTTTATTTTAGGCAGTTTTTTCAAATTTTATCCTAATCATTTGTCATTATCAATTATACCAGTCATAAAAGTCCTCAATCTTTTAAAATACATATCTATAAATTCAGCTCAACCTGACAACGAAATATGGGCATAATATAACTTCAAGTTTTAAATCAATATGCATATAAATTATATTGAATTATAAAATATTTATAACAAGGAAGAGAACCAAAGAAGTAAAATAATATGATCATTTTCCCTATCTTAAACCAAAAATAAATAAAATATGTGTAAAAAAGTCAGACTTTGAACAGAGCAGACATGGATTTTTAGCTCTGATGTTTTATTTTAATATTTAGTGATATACTGGATTGATACTAATGAAAATTATATCTGTATGGCCAGGAATTTATTTGGAAATAAGATTTGAAAATATTTTGTATCTGTGATTACTAAATATGGAGTTAAATGAGGATTTTAGTGAATAATTTAGGAAATATATTAAGCATTTTGAATATACATTCACAGGAATTTCACACCTAACATTCCCTTCCATTAGCTATACAAACATTTGTGTAAGGAAACAAACTTAATCCTCTTAACTTCTTATATCATACTCTTTTAAAATATAATGGATGTCAACACCTCTACAGACTGTGACAGCTTTAGTGGCTTCTCTGAATGTGATCTTTCTGCAGATTATACTGATGACAATAATGGAAAACTTTTTGATATGGTTGTTAGTGAAGTGGCAGATTGTGTGTCAATTAATTTTTATCATCAATCCACAAAAGAAGAATTATTGGAGTTGTTACAACAGTTGTATCAATTTACACCAACAAAAGATGAAACAGGATTATCCACAACCATTTACATTACAGAGAAAAAGGTTGTAATAACAGTTTATAATACCTTAACTATGCTAATCCAGGGACCAGGATGCAGAGTATGGAAAAATACTGTATTCCAGACGTTATCCACAAAGCTTAAACACAATGTAGATCATCCACAGAACAAATCAAATTCAGCTGAAAAATTGAACTATAGTATTCCAAAGCTAAAGAAAAAGTCTAAGTCTAGTAACATTTTAACAACTGTTTCAACCAAGCTATTTGGCCCATCTCCAGATAAAGGACTTCTCAAAGTTGCAAAACAAATAAAGAAAGCAGAAAAGGTAGCTAAGAAGGGAGGACCGCCAGTTGATAAAGAATATTTCAACAAATGCCTCAATGATGTACTATCAAATAATTCAAATGGTGATTCCAAGTCAACCTATCGCTCAGCAACACCGTTAAATTACCAATACAACAAAATGCAAAAAGAAACACATATTAAGGGAAAACTCTGTGAAAAATCAATCGCTCATGAAATGATCACAAAAGAGAAGGAAAAACCTGTCAAATACACAGGCAATGACCATGACCAAACACAAAGAAAACAAATATTCACTAGCTCTTTTTCTGCAGAAAATGTCAACAGTAAATCAAGTACTACAAGCAATAGTGAAAAAGATGACAATATCACTGTTAGTTGTTTCAGCTCAGAGAATCCTCACAATTCTACAGAAACTTGTGATAGAGAGACATTAAATACCTGTAATGAAAATGAAACACTAATGCTAAGACAGGAAAATGAAGAAATGAAAAGTAAACTTAAAAAGATGGAGAAAGAAAATAATCAGTTGAAGACGAAACATAGTGAGCAAGGAACCAGACTGTTGAAGGCTTTAGACTCTGCTGAGAAAATTAAAGCAACTCTTGAGGATACCAGAAAAAAAGCTTGTGAACAGAGCAAGCATATCCAGTCAATTTCACGAAAATCAAATGCCCTGGAGGATAAACTAGCAGAAGTAAATGCAAAATGCTTGCTACAAAGTGAAGAAATTGTAAAGCTACAAAAATTGAACAGTTTGATGAAAGAGGAAAAGCAAACCTTGATTAACAGATTAGCATCAAGAAACTTAGAAAGTGGTAAGGAAGAAACAAAGTGTGAGGATTTAAAGAAAATCACGGATGATTTGACTGCTATCAACCAAAATATTTGTATCTTGATGGAAAATCAAAAGAAAGCTGCAACATCACATGACATTACACTGCTAAGGTCGGAAATTAGGACACAGAAAGACAAAAATGTAAATCCAGAACAAACATTGAATTATGAGGACAGAGAAAAATTTAGCAGTACTGTGGAAAGTGTTGATAGTCAAAAAACAAGAGAAAAACACCCAAATAGCCAACTAGACACCTCAAAATACTCAGTTTTTATTTTAGGTGACTCTGTCACAAAAGTATTGCGAACAGATAAAATGACAACTGATAAAACAAATGTTAAAATAAAGTCACAAGGAGGAGCCAATCTTAAAGATATCCACAGTAAGATGTCCTCCTTAATTGCCAACCAGCCACATGTTCAGAACACAGACGTGTTTGTCATTCATGCAGGCATCAACAACATACTGCGTGGTGACCAACCAGAGGAGGTCAAGCAACAATTACTTGAACTAACAGAACTTTTAAGGCAAATAAATCCGCACATTAAAATAATAGTTTCTTCTATACTTCCTATGAAAGCAGATAAAACTTACCAAGAAAAGATCACAAATACTAATGAACTCTTGAGAACCCTTTGTAATGAAAAAAGTATAACTTTCATTGATAACACAGATTCATTTATGAAAAATCAACAACAGACAAACCAATCACTTTACGTCAATGAAGTTCATCTTAATAATCATGGAGCTGCAGTTTTCGCAAAACAAATAAAATCAACAATAAGACAACTACTTAAAATCGAACCAAGGAAAACCCAAGGAAATTTTCGCCAAGCCGGCCGATCATACAGGACACCACTAAATCAACATCACAAGAGACAGAACAACCCTTGGCGCTTTCCACACTTCCATCATCCACCTGGAGCCTGGAACCTACCACCGTGGATGTACACATTTCCACCCCTTCAGAGATAGAAAGCAATAAATGTGACTTCCTATCTAAACAGACAAATTTGCTGGCATTCCCTTCTGAAAATGAAAACTGTCCAAGTAGTGTAAATAGTTTAAATTGTGGTAATAATTATAAGACTAGTGACAATAGTGACAGAACAAATAAATCTACAACAGAGCAAAACATTCTTTTAAACTGTAACGAAACAAACTTTTTATCAAAACAAGGATTAAATTTTTTACATCTTAACATTCATTACCTCTATCCCAAACTTGATGAATTAAAAATTTTGATGGACACTCATTCTTATCTGGATATTATAGGACTTTGTGAAACATTTTTAAACAACAACTTTTCAGATGATGAATTTCAGTTTAAAGGTTTTCAAATGTTTCGTTTGGATAGGAAAACACATGGTGGTGGCCTTATTTTATATGTAAATGAAAATTTTTCATGTGTTTCTAGGCTTGATCTACAAAATGATAATATTGAAGCTATCTGGCTTGAAATCAAGAACAATCTACAAAAACCATTTATTTTTGGATATATTTATAGGCCACCATCATCACATGCAAATTGGAATATGGATTTAGAACAAATTCTAGAAAAAATTTATATTGAAAACAAGGAAATCATTTTGACTGGAGATTTTAACTATAATTATGACCCACTTACTCGATCTACTAATAACACATGCTGGAATAATATTACTAACAGTTTCAATTTAAATCAACTTGTTGAAAAACCCACCAGAGTAACTCAAACATCTAAAACCATTATAGATCATCTCTATACAAATTTTTCTCACAATATTTCTGAAATATCCATCCCTCAATTGTCCATTAGTGATCATTTCCCAATCTGTTTCACACGCAAAATATCAAATACAGTTACCAAAGACCCTTTACATCAGATAATACAGTATCGAAATGTTAAACAATTTAATGAAACAGATTTTGTGGAATCTCTTGAACAGCAGCCTTGGTCAGTGATAGAGATATTTGAAGATCCAAACGATGCTTTGGATTTCTTCAACTCTTTATTTAATGAGGTTTTAAATTCACAAGCCCCTCTCAAACGAAAACGTGTAAAACACACACATCTCCCAGACTGGTACAACCCTGATATTCTTCATGCCACTAAACAAAGGGATAAAGCTAAGAAATCAAATAACAATGATGAATATAAATATTGGAGAAACAAAGTGAAAAATCTAATCTCAAATTCCAAGAAAAATTACTACTCTGAAACTATTAATAACAACAAACACAATGCAAAAGAAATGTGGAAAAATCTTAAACAATTATCAAGCAAATCTACAAATCACCAGACTAATTATATTCAAGATGAAGATGGAAATCAAATCACAGACCCATTAGAAACTGCTGAGGTATTTAATGATTACTTCATTGATATCTTCAAATCTGCTCCACAAAATTGCTCAACCTTATCACAAGAAGATGAAATAAGATTGCATGAGTTTATTGAAATGCATTCAAATGATAAATGCCCTTTCAAGATACCTGAAATTACAAGTCAATTTATAAACAAAGAGCTACAAGATCTTGATGTCAGAAAGTCAACAGGTCTAGATGGTATAGGAGCCAAATTTCTTAAAATAAGTTCTAAAATCATATCCAAGCCTTTGGAGAAAATATTCAATCTCAGTCTATCAAGTGGCTTATTTCCTTCTGCCTTTAAACAAGCAAAAGTAACACCAATACATAAAAAGGGCAACAAAAATGAAAAAGGTAACTACAGGCCTATATCAATACTACCAGTTCTATCGAAAGTTTTAGAAAGACATGTTAGCAATCATCTTAAATTATTTCTTGAAACTAACTCTCTTTTTCAGCCAAATCAGTCTGGCTTTCGCACAAATTATTCATGCGAAACTGCTCTTACTTCAATTATTGACAGCTGGATCAGAGCAATAAATGAAGAAAAACTTATAGGGACTATATTTCTGGACCTAACAAAAGCATTTGATTTGATCAATCATAACCTATTATTGAAAAAACTACAAATGTATAACATACATGGAAATTCAATTTCATGGTTTAGGTCATACCTAAGTGATCGCACACAACAAGTATGCGTGTCTGGAAAATATTCTGAAGCTCAGGATATAAAATCTGGTGTGCCTCAAGGTTCAGTTTTAGGTCCTCTCCTTTTCATTATCTACATTAATGACTTACCTTTGCATTTATCACATTCTACATCAGACATGTTTGCTGATGACACTACAATTACCTCATTTGGACACAGTATCAGTTCAATTTGTACAAAACTTCAGTCTGACCTAAATTCCATACAAAAGTGGTGCAACAGGAATTCAATGATTCCAAATGCTAATAAAACTAAAGCTATGTTTATTTCACCTTCAAATCATATCTATAATACTATCAGTAATACTAGTGATTTCCAGATCACTCTTCAAGATGAAAGCTTACAATTTTCAGAAACAGAAAAACTTTTAGGTGTCCATGTTGATCATACACTGAACTGGAAAACACAAGTCAAAATGACACTGAATAAATGCAATTCATTACTATACCTTCTTTTGAGAATAAAACAATTTCTAAATGTTCATGTAAGGAAAATTTTCTTTAATGCATACATTCTTCCCCACTTAGACTATTGTTGCACTATTTGGGGAAATTGCAGTAAAGAACTCTTAAATGACCTGTATAAATTTCAAAAACGGGCAGCACGAATAATATTGGACAAATATTTTGATGCACCCACTGATGATTTATTTTCTGAATTAAATTGGATGAAATTTTCTGAAAGAGTAAATTATAAAAAAGCTATTTTAGTGTACAAGTCCCTTAACAATCTTCTCCCTGATTATATGCAAAATCTTTTTACTTACACTGAAAATACACATTTAAGATCATATCAACAAAAACAACTTCAAATCCCAAAACCTAGACTTGAGTTCTGCAGAAAATCTTTATCATACTCAGGGTCAAAACTTTGGAATTCTCTTCCCTTAGATATCAGAAACTCCACAAATTTACAATCGTTCAAAAATAATTATCTTAAATGGTGGTTCTCTGGTGGGAATAAAACACATCAAGTTGTATTATAAAATGATAAATGTATATCTGAATTGCAATTATTATATTCTTATATAATATTTTTTCCCTAGATTTACATTTTACATGTTTCTTAACTATATTGTATTTTTAATTATGTTGTTGTTTATCATACCTTTTGTTTGTAAATGTTTATATTATGTACATTGTATATTTGATAGAGGCTCATAGGGAAGACTGGGCATGCCCAACTATGTTGCCTCTTTAAATAAAGTCTTTATTATTATTATTATTATTATTATTCCTCACAGACTTGTTTATTTTCAAGTCAAAAAGACCATTAAATAAACATGTATGTGTAATTGTCATGATATGGGAGCTTATCTGCTTTTCTGCTGGCGAAAGACCTTAGGTGTTTCTTTTTTATCAGGCACAAGTGGGCACCTGAGTAGAATCGCCTACCTGATTGTTTTTTAATAGGCTACTAATAAATATTTCAAACTCACCTATTCCTGGAAGATATTTCAGTCCATTTTTCAAGCTGATAGTATAGCGTCTGGTTGATGCATGCCTGACTTGGTATGAAAACAGGTACAGCCAATCAAATCTTGTACGGTGATTCATAATCATAAGATTAGATGCTTCATTACTTGGAACTCTGCCATAAATGCTAACCTTGGTCTGGAAAATTACTTCATAAATGGACTGAAAATGAAACAACATTATATTGTAAGTCTATTAAAGGTTTAACCATGTGTCTTTAGGAAAACAAATACAGTAAAAACTCTAAAAACAAGTCCCTCTGAAAACTGGAATCCTCTGAAAATGGGACTTTTTTAAAAGTCTATTTTTCCTTATTATGAAGTTATAAGTTCTACTGATAAAATGTTACATGTTTCTTTATGTTTTGGGGGGTTTATTCAGATATTTTAACAAATTTCTTATCATGTCTCATCAGTCTACATGTATCTGCCAACCTACTTAGCTGGATAACTTAAACCAGCAATTACCAATTTCTCTGCAAGGGTCTAACTACTGATCTCACATGATTTCTGAATCCTTGGTGGGAGACAAGTGACCATTAGACTCAATGTCCAAGATCATCTGTCACAGAGAACAACTTTGACCATTGTAAACATGTCACATGGACACATTGATATTAGCTTAGAGATTAGTGACGACAAAAAATTACAGTAATGCTGACTATTATAACAAGAGCTGTCGGAAGGACAGCACGCTCGACTATTCTAAGCGCTTGATATCAAAAGAGCCTTGATAATGTTAAATTTAGAGCTTTGATAATGTTAAATTTTCTAAGTTCACAAAAGGGCTAATTTTTTTTTATAAATTCATGTTATAGGCCTTAGAGAGTCTTATTATACAGTATTGGCTTGACTATTCGGGAGGTAATGTCACAAGGGTGTTTTATTGAGTATAATAATAGTAATTACCTATGAATACATAAAATTGACAGAAAAGGTACAAAGGCTTGTTATTAAGATGTTTTATCAAGTAAATCAGTGCTTTATTATTATGAATGCATAAAATTGTCCCAAAAAAGGCACAAACCCTTCAGTATTTATGGAGATAACAGCTTACAAGCAAAACTTTACCATGAATTTCTAAGTTGAAAAAAGGGAGAAAAATCAGCCTAAATGCAAGATAGAATTATGGATCTTTGTCAGTGACCTACAATTATGACCCTAAATGCATATGTGAAGTTTTGAATAAATATCTTTAATAGAGTTATGGAACTTGGTCAGTGACATACAATTATGACCCTCAAAGTATGACCTTAAGTACATGTGTAAAGTTTCATGTAAATATCTTGGAAGACCTTTAACCAAAATTTTACAGGCAGAGCTATGCAATTTTGCAAACTGATGTACATTGTTACTATAAAAAAGCATTTCAAATTTCAATTGAATATCTCAAGCAATAGTTGAGATATTTGACTTTACAAAAAAACTTTAACCAAAATTTCTAAGTTCCAAAGGGGCATCATTCTGTCAATATTGTAGGCAGAGTTATCCAACTTGTCAATCTGATATACCTTGTTACTATAAATAGGTATTGTAAGTTTCAATTGAATATCTCAAGTAACAATTGAGATATTTGACTTTACAAAAAACTTTAACCAAAATTTCTAAGTTAAAAAGGGGCATAATTCTGTCAAAATTGTAGGCAGAGTTATCCAACTTGTCAATCTGATGTACATTGTTACTATAAATAAGTATTGTAAGTTTCAATTGAATATCTCAAGTAATAATTGAGATATTTGACTTTACAAAAAACTTTAACCAAAATTTCTAAGTTAAAAAGGGGCATAATTCTGTCAAAATTGTAGGCAGAGTTATTCAACTTGTTAATCTGATGTACCTTGTTACTATAAATAAGTATTGTAAGTTTCAATTGAATATCTCAAGTAATAATTGAGATATTTGACTTAACAAAAAACTTTAACCAACGCAGACGCCGACGCCGGGGCGACTACAATAGCTCTCATATTCTTCGAATAGTCGAGCTAAAAACGGCCTTCAGATTTTATTATCTGTTGGAAAAACAATTTTGTGTTGTTTCAATCTAACTATTTCTGTACTTTTATCTGGGAAAAGTGCATCATATCACTGTTTTAAAAGCTTTGCTCAAAACAGCGCCCAGAGAGTGTAAGCTATTTATAACGGCCATCAGTGATGTTCTGTTCTAAAAAGAAAAGATTAGATTAATTAACGAATCGTCCACTTTACTAATTTAAACAAGATATGTTTGTAAAACATGTATGCCCCCTATCAGGAGCCAATTAGTCATGTGATAAGGTTATTATGCATGACTTCTGACCCAGTGATCAAACAATTAATAAGGGTTATCAAATATCTACTGGTCATGACCTTAACCTTTGACCCCTTGACCCAAAATTCAATAGGGGTCATCTGCTGGTCACGACCAATCATCATACAAAGTTTGAAGTTCCTAGGCCTAAGCGTTTTTAGTTAATTGATCGGGAACCGTTTTAACATACAAGGTCAATGTGACCTTGACCTTTGACCCCTTGACCCCAAAATCAATAGGTCATCTGCTGGTCATGACCAATCACCATACCATGTTTGAAGTTCCTAGGCAAAGGGTTCTTAAGTTATTGATTTGAAAGCATTTTTACCTACAAGGTCAATGTGACCTTGCCCTTTGACCCCTTAACCCCAATATCAATAGGGGTCATCTACTGGTCATGACCAATCACCATACCAAGTTTGAAGTTCCTAGGCCTAAGGGTTCTTTAGTTATTGATCGGAAACTGTTTTTACCTAAGAGGTAAATGTGACCTTGACCTTTGACCCCTTGACCCCAAAATCAATAGGGGTCATCTACTGATCATGACCAATCACCATATCAAGTTTGAAGTCCCTAGGCCTAAGGGTTCTTTCGTTATTGATCGGAAACCGTTTTTACCTACAAAGTCAATGTGGACCTTGACCTTTGACCCCTTAACCCCAAAATCAATAGGGGTCATCTGCTGGTCATGACCAATCACCATACCAAGTTTGAAGTTCCTAGGCCTAAGGGTTCTTTCGTTATTGATCGGAAATCGTTTTTACCTACAAGGTCAATGTGACCTTGACCTTTGACCCCTTAACCCCAAAATCAATAGGGGTCATTTGCTGGTCATGACCAAGCACCATACCAACTTTGAAGTTCCTAGGCCTAAGGGTTCTTTTGTTATTGATCAGAAACCGTTTTTACCCAAGAGGTCAATGTGACCTTGACCTTTGACCCCTTGACCCCAAAATCAATAGGGGTCATCTACTGATCATGACCAATCACCATACCAAGTTTGAAGTTCCTAGGCCTTAAAGTTCTTTAGTTATTGATCAGAAACCGTTATTGCTTACAAGGTCAATGTGACCTTGACCTTTGACCCCTTGACCCCAAAATCAATAGGGGTCATCTACTGATCATGACCAATCACCATACCAAGTTTTGAAGTTCCTAGGCCTTAAAGTTCTTATGTTATTGATTGGAAACCGTTTTTGCTTACAAGGTCAATGTGACCTTGACCTTTGACCCCTTGACCCCAAAATCAATAGGGATCATCTACTGATCATGACCAATCACCATACCAAGTTTGAAGTTCCTAGGCCTTAAGGTTCTTTAGTTATTGATCGGAAACCGTTTTTGCTTACAAGGTCAATGTGACCTTGACCTTTGACCCTTTGACCCCAAAATCAATAGGGGTCATCTACTGGTCATGACCAATCACCATACCAAGTTTGAAGTTCCTAGGCCTTAAGGTTCTTTAGTTATTGATCGGAAACCGTTTTTGCTTACAAGGTCAATGTGACCTTGACCTTTGACCCTTTGACCCCAAAATCAATAGGGGTCATCTACTGGTCATGACCAATCACCATACCAAGTTTGAAGTTCCTAGGCCTTAAGGTTCTTTAGTTATTGATCGGAAACCGTTTTTGCTTACAAGGTCAATGTGACCTTGACCTTTGACCCCTTGACCCCAAAATCAATAGGGGTCATCTACTTGTCATGACCAATCACCATACCAAGTTTGAAGTTCCTAGGCCTAAGGGTTCTTTAGTTATCACTCGGAAACCATTTGGTCTACGGACCGACGGACCGACGGACCGACAAGTGCAAAGCAATATACCCCCTTTTCTTCGAAATGGGGGCATAAATATATATAGAGAACAGACTGGTAGATTAGAGTTTAGACTCAGGTATCGAGGTTTTTCCTTTAATGTTTATGTATTTTATTGTCGGCAAATTTCATTTTCCACCTTATTTCTTTTGGTTTGTCAATTATACAAAAAGATTTATCTAAAAATAACATTTTTAACCTTTAGAAAAGCTAAAGGCCTCTTTAATTCGGCTTCAATGGTTTGGTCCATTTTTCATACTTTCTTTTATTTCCTCAGGTCAAACCATTGTAAAAAGACATTGTCCATCCAAAAAAGATCTGAATGTCTCTTTGACTTGTAATTATTTTGACCGATACAGAATGCCTACCATGCGATCAAGTCCAGCATAATTTTTTTATTATCAAATCACCTTTATCATTCATTTTATCACTGTTTATATCGATACAAAATAATTTTTAAATCACAAAGTAGCTAAAGAGACTTCCCTGAACAGGTTTTATAGTATGGCATGATGGAGCTAAATATAAGATGGAGAAGAAACTGTGACGTCACACATTTAATCGGCAGACTTCTGTTCCCGCAAGTTATCATATGTCGATCGCAGGATTTTGCGAGATTTGATGCATCCTGGGTAAAATTAGCCAAAATACCGCCATATTGAATTCCCGGAGATACATTAACAAAAAAGACTAAACATATTTTCTACTTATATAAGAAGCAATAGTAATTTATTCTAAAACGTACAAAACACACTTTTCCACACAAATATTTCTCCGATGAAAACCCATGTCGGCAATGTAAGCAATAATTCACGGATATCACCTAAGTTAAACAATAGTGTGAAAATCGGAGACTATTGGGAAAGCCAGATTATCACCGAAGCGCGCAAAGGATTGTGGGTCTGAATCTGACTCGTCTATTTTCGGAGTTTCCTATCCGTTGTTTATATATCTGTGGTACTGCTAGACTGGCGCCAACGTCAAAATAAAAGGGACATAAAAAGAACTAATCCCAAAGATGCATTTGTGCAATATTAGTTCTGGCTTCCATAACTTTATATGTCGCTTTTAATAGTTTTATTTTGACGTTGCTACAGTAAACAGGTCTAGCAGGAATTACGGACAGGGCGGACCGTGAGACAGGGCGGACCGTACCAGGGCGGACCGTGACTTGAGACTAGACGGACCGTATTTTTGGACAGGGCGGACCGTCACTCGAGGCGAGGCGGACCGTGATTTAAAAAAGTATTTATATGTGGACTAATATAATTATTGATGTTTTTGTTCTTCGTATTGATATTTCAATTCAAATATTCAATTAAAAATATAAAATACAGTAAGTTTTAAAAGTTCTTTGATGTGTCTTATTGTTTAATAAATTCTATTTCAGTGTTCATTTTATTTCAAGTGTCTGTGCTTATTATGTAAATTTTAATAAGATAGTTTTGTTTATCAAATATGTCACTTCATTTTTTTGTTATTGTGTTGAATTGCAAATAATTTTAATGTGATGTTATTCGTTATCATTGTTATTTCGTGTATTGTACAACAAATTATGTTTTTTTATGTGTCTAATTGTTTAATAAAGTTTATCAATTTTAGCAGCGTTAGCGCCTTATACAAACAATAAAATTGTCATATCCCGATAATTGGTCAATTATCACTTGCGTAAGTCGACGCAGTTACAAATAATTTCTTGAGAAAATTTTTTTAAACTACTCTAATATACTGAAACAAAAAAGAAACTTTCTCCAAGTTTGAATGTAGATATGTTAATTAGTACAGTTTTTCAATCCTTTTGAAACTCGATTTTTACGTTGAATAAACATTTCGGGCTTTTATACGGGGATTAGCTGACCGATTTTGCAAACAAAACGAGTTTTACGAGCTACTACATACAGTATATACAAGTGTGTACATCTATGTGGTACCCTTGACAACTGGCACATGATACTTTGCGAAAGTTTCCTTTTTTGGTTCAGTATATATATGTTTCATATGTTACATAGAAAGGTTTAGATTGAAATATTATAAAGAATACCAAAATCATCCACAATTAAATACTTTCGTCTCGAGTGACATCGTCCATTCAGCAAATTAATATTCAATTACACATGAACTTTTAAAATTTATTTTATATTTTTACTTTTATATATGCATTGAAATATTAAAATGAAGAACAAAAACATCAATAATTTAATACTTTTATTACATTAGTCCACATATAAATACTTTTTTAAATTACGGTCCGCCTCGTCTCGAGTGACGGTCCGCCCTGTCCCAATATATGGTCCGCATAGTCTCACGGTCCGCCCTGTCCTGCAGGCGTCTAGCAGTACTATAAAACCTATTTGCTGAAGTCTAATATACATGTATAATATAACTTAGTCAAAATATATTGACGTGCCAAAGCTTGATTCTGAGATATTTTCGTTCTGGGGCAGAATCTCGCTTTAGGCGAGATATTGCCCAGACACGAAAATAGCACAATATCTCGTCGCCCAGAACAAATAGTTGGACTAAATATAACTATAATTTTCAGTCAAGAAATATTAATATGTCAAGTCAAAGTGACTTGAGCAAAAGGTATCAAACTTACCACACAATATAGTTTCCATGCCCATATAATCTTGTCAGTAACACTTTTTGTATACACCGGTGCGATGAAAAATAATGGGAGGATCGGTGTCAATAAAAAGATCGTTCCAAAGTAGGTGGAATAAAATATAAGGAAAACAAAACTTATGCCCCTGAAGCATCGCCAGTAACTTTCTATGTTTGTTTTTGCCATAACAATAACACAATTATGATTGACTTCAATCGAAGATTCGATCTCAAGTGTTAAAGAAAATAACAAGAATAAACTTGTGTTTTAGTTGCTGTCAAAACACTTTCATAGTTGAAGTGCTCTTCTTTCTGAAGTTTAGAGAGCACTTCCGGTAACAACAACAACAACAAGTGTCTGACTAACATTTAAGCAGGTTTAATGTAAGTTTCGTTACTAATACATAATGTTTTTGGTAGATTAAGCACTTAATTTAAATTATGCATTAAATATGAAGAGTATGGCATATTGATATTAGACTGCCAGTCCTTTTATTTCATTTCCTTTTATCTGCAATATTTATGCCTGGTGATTCGTACAACTCGTACTCATGTAAATTGCAACTTAATATAAAAAAAATTCTCAAATACTTAATTTCTGGCGTTCGCTTTTTCTCAAATGGGAAGTGACAGTCAAACTAAATTTATTGAGAAAACATTGTAGGAGAGGACTTGTCATTAACAGATTAAATGGGAAAATTTGCAGCTTAACTATGGCTCAACTTAGTCCAATAGATTTAGACGTTACAGGCTCGTTATATTTTTAACGTAACATGGAAAACGAAAAATGTAAAATATCAGATAAATGAATGATAAATATGAAATAGGTTACGTATAGGTCTTATAATTAGGACTAGGCTCAACTATGACTTCATTAAAATGTGTGATGATACTGATCTGCAAAAAATATGCGCAAATCGCACAGCCGCACGACCAATTTATTTTTGTAAATAAGTACTAATAAATTTTAACCGGCTTAGTGTTTTGAATTATTTTATAAACAGTCGATTTACTAGACTGATTAACAGTTTGCTGATTTACCAAAGTAAATGTGTTACGATTCATTTGAAGTACTGTGATCCTACTGGACAAAAAATAATTTCAAACACTAAATTCTGATAATGTACCTGAGCACCTTAAACCAAATATGAACAAAAATTAGTTGCGAAATCTTTCTTTCAAAATAACAGAATGTTTGATAACATAGATGACAGATTGAAGTTTTTGTTGGGCCTCACAGCAGCTGCAACTGCAAAATATTTGGCAGTGTATTGGCTTCGTAGAAAGAGACAAGACAGATTTGAGCTGGTTGGAACAGTTAAAGAATTAATCTGCTATCCTGTGAAGTCATGTAAAGGTGTATATGTCGATGAAGCAGAATGCTCCAAATTTGGCCTCAAAGTGGAGGGAATAACAGACAGGTTTGATATTTACACAGAGCTATATTAATAAAATGGAGAGCAGGCTATGACTTTTTTTTCTCACTTTTTGGGGAAGGGGGTTGTGCCCTTTGGAGGGGGAAAAATGCAATAGGAGGGGGAATTTTGTTTATTTATTTTATATAGTTTTCTTTTCGGTAGAAAAGGGGAGCAATTCTTGCAACACAAGTTTAAAATATGTCGCTTTTTTTAATATACGAATCTAAAGTATCGACGTGTCGCATGTTAAACTTGTTTGGACGCCGGGAGTAGCTACCCTACCTACCAGAGAACGATTTTTAAACAACCTTGCTTAACAGTTAGTCTTACAGGCATAAAATAAAACATTTTTTCGGCAGTTAGTTGCAAAAAGAATGATATTCATTGCAGGCAAATTTGGGCTGCCGTTAAGGGGGAAATTTCTGCTTTGAGGGGGGAAAAAACATACTATTTTGAGGGGGAAATGGGGCCGAATTTCGCTGTATATTTTGGGGGAAAAAAACACTAGACTCCATACACTTAAAATCTGTATTATCTCACATGTTCACATTTTGCGAGATTTTCTGAGATCATGTTTGACAAGAGAAAATTTACCTATATGTACGACGCCTGATGATGTTATCTAAAATTTGTTTTGTTTACATTTTTGCAATTACTTTTTGTTACTTCTTTTGATTACCATAATATGGTATTGTAAAGAAGTAGCAAAAAGAAGTTGCAAAAATGTAAAAAAAAAAATAGGAGAGGATATGAATTATTCGATTCTCATTAATAGATAAGAATTTAAACACATTTGGTTACGCAAAACAAGAAGGTGGAAATTGATCAACTTCAAGAGCCAATTAATCTCGTGCAAGGGATTGTGGGTCAGGATCGGAAAATTTTCTATTTTAGGAGCTTCTTATCCCTCTGCAATTTAATTAAAGTGTCTGAAGTTTTTTTTTTCATTTCAAACCATAATTAGTTTTATAACAAAACGTAAAGTATCAGAAGCAAATAATGTTTACTCATAAGAATATACATGACAAAATAATTGATTCAGGTTAAATTGTCTCCCAAAACTGTAAGATTTATCATAAAATGTTATCATTTCCATATTTTTGATAGGCATTTTCATGGTAACAAGAGACAATGGGCGTTTCTTGTCACAGAGGCAGGAGCCTACAATGGCATTGATTTCA